CAAAGCAATACCTTTATCTTGATTTGCCATAAACTAAAATTGTTTTTGTTCAACAAATTTTTCTGTTCGAATTTTGTTGTAGTCATCCCGAAACCAAATCTTTAATACCAATTTGTTATGAACAAAGGCCAAAAACATAAACGGAATAAAATAGGAAAAAATGCAAAATACACTAATTTATGTGGTTTGGGTCGACACACAAGCCTACGTCCACGGACGAAGCGCGACAAGATTTTACTATAAAATATGAAGATTACAAAGATCTCGAAAATAAAGGCAAGAGAACATGTGTTCAAACTATCTTGATATTGCATTTTTAATAGGACCCAAAACTCCTTTTTCAACAAATATTGGTTTAGTCCGAAGAAGACCCGAGAAAATAGAATGAGATCCCAGGTCGTTGACGTTGCTCGAGGCCAAAAACAAGTACCAATCAAGCTTCTCGACCAATTTTTTATTCCTTCACAAAGTCAAAGTCTTGTTGAGAAAAATTCGTCACGTGTTCGACAAGGCAACAATGTCCCACTTAATGACAAACATGTATTGCAAGCCGAACCTTCTCCAACTGACGAGAGATTGGTTCGAACTCGAACTCTCACAACACAAGGTCACTTGTTCACAAAACACCAAAATGGATCAAATAATTTTAATCCCGGATCGGAATAGACCAAACAGGAATACAAGACAAATCAACAGTGTTTGGGTGCATGTGTTGTGTGTGGATGTGGGTGTGATGTTTGTATGTGGGGGTGCGTGTGAGTTTTGTGTGTGGGTTTGTGTTTTTGTGTTTGTGTGCTTGTGCTGTTTGGGTTTGTGTGTTTTTACTGTGTATTAGTGTTGTAGAGCAGTTGGAAACGAAGAAGAGGAGACGGAGAGAGAGAGAGAGAACCAACCTTAGAGAGAGATTTGTTGGATTTCACCAGAAAAGTCAGAGTTTGCTGGATTTCACTAGAGCATAGTGTCGGAGAAGAGGGGGGATGGTGTTGTATGGTGGAGGGAGGAGAAAGGAAGGAGAGAGACGGGGAGTCAAAATGGGGAAAAGGGTTTTTGAGTGACGGAGGAGAAAGGTCACTGTTGGTCTACGACGGGGAAAAAAAATTTGAAGATTGATCTAACACCATCGGATCTTTATCGAGTATTAGATTAATCTTAGTCGTTCTTGTGGTTCTATGGTTGGTGCGGCCTAAAGACCAAGCTACTTTGTTATATCTTATATTTTATGTTTGGCAATTTAAGGGTGATGAGTCATCAGTTTAACTTCTTTTGCAATCTCTACAAAGGGAGGCTTTTAAAGGAATGGTTTTTGAAGGCTAGTGCTAAAAGCTCCAGAGATTTTTTCTTTGGCTATCAAAAAAAAAAAACGTTTCTAAATTGCAGCTAAAAGTCTTGGACTCGACATTGGTTTTCACTTTTAAGTACTTAAATGATGGGTTTGATACAGATTGGAATTGGTGGTACCAGTTTGACTAAAACTAAAGAATACATAAAAAAACTTGTAGAGATCATTCAGTAGATTATGAAAATCATAGTTGTATATCTTAATGAAAAATTGCATTCCATTTTTATGTGACTCAGAAGTTCATAACATTTGCTATTATGTGCATGTGGCTTAATAGACAATGAAGTTCTAAAGGGATTTTCAGGTGTTTGAACGAAACCACACTAATTTTGTACGATTCGAAACAAGAAAATGCTTGCCATTATGTAGATATAGAAACAAAACACGGTTTCCTGCTTCTTATAAGGAAATAAATTCGACAAAACAACCAAAACTGAATTGTTAAGACTCCTATGACCAAGGATCAAAATTTCGTTTCGAAGTACCGTTTCGGTCAACTCAAAAATAGAAACGTTTCGGAAACATTTCGGAAACGCAATGGAAACGCAGAAAAAATATGGAAACGCATAGAAACACAAATGCAATCCATTAATTTATAAAGATATGCTAAATAATTTATTAATTCAACATATTTATTAGGTTAACATCAATTTATACAAGAATAAATTTAAATTTGAGGGAAAAAAAGGCTTGACTTGAGGCGAAAGTCACTTAAATTAGTTTCAAACACTTAATTTTTATGAAATAAACACATTTTTACATAATATTAACGTCTTATAATACACATGAAATGCTAATGAGTACATACTTACATGGTTACATCCATTCCCCTGTGGAGTGTCGAGCAGGCTCATACATCGGTGTAGGCTCTGGGTAGCTACTTAGAGAAACTCCATATGTGACATAAATATGATGACAATAGTTACTCCAAATCATATTATTACGGTAATATAATCCAATTAATAATACTATTTTATTATAATACTAATAATGAAGGGTATCAAATTAAATTAATGATACTTATGTATACTTAAAAATTAAATGTAATTGCAGTGAGTATTAAATGTAATTACAGTAGGTATTAAATATAATTACATTAGGGTATTAAATGTAATTGTTAATACTTATAACAAAAAAAAAAAAAGCAAAAAACTTGCACAGCAGTGAGGTATTAAATATAATTACAGTATGTATTAAATATAATTATAATGGGTATCAAATATAATTATAGTAGGGTATTAAGTGTAATTATTTATTCTTATAACAAAAAAATTATAAAAGACAGAAGAGCAGTGGGAATTAAATATCATTATAGTGGGATATTAAATATAATTATAGTGAGTATTAAATGTAATTACAGTGGATATTAAATGTAATTATAATGGGGTATTAAATGTAATTATTCATAATGAACCGAATATATCACTGTTTTGTCGAAACGGTTCGACCGAAACGGTCCGAAACAGTACCGTTTCGACCGAAACGGTCCGAAACAGTACCGTTTCGACCGAAACGGTCCGAAACAGTACCGTTTCGACCGAAACACTGGAATTTTGTGATTCAACTACTGTTTCGTTTCGGAGTGTTGAAATTCCGAAACGTTTCGGACGTGTCGACACGACATTTTGATCCTTGCCTATGACATAGGAATGGCTTTGCACAGAGACAGTTTTTCAAATTTTCTAGACAGAACTTAGAAATGGAATAAAGGCTAATCACTAATAAAATCACCCCCCTTTACATGGGAAAATATAGCGTAGGAGTGGATATGGCATTCCATCCTATTAAATATTAGGAGAATAAGAAAATAGGAATTGTCATGATAAGAATTTATATCAGCTGATTCAGAGTAGTGATTCACTTGGAAATCGTTTTGTTTACTTGCTTTTTAATCGGAAACTTTGAACTGGCCTTTGGAAAAAGTCGGCGGATCACCTTACGAGTGTAGTATAGAATATTTGAATCTGATTTGGATGAGAGGTTTCAGTGGCCTTGAATTGGTGATAGAGGGATGTTAAATTGAGTATTGAATCATATGGATATGGGAAATTGAGTTAACATGGTTGAACCAGGTGCACACTAGACTGGTGGAAACTCTAGTGTGCCATGTGACATTTTTTGAAGGGACAGAAGTAGAAAAACATTTGAAATAAAATTTGTAAACTTGAAAAAGTAGTTCAAAATATGTCCCTGGATAGCATTACAGGTTGGCCAAGTTGTGTAGACCCATTCGGTAACGATGACATACGTTCGAGACAAGATCATCGTGGAAATGGTCCGGAACAATGACACTTCTTGCAAATTGACAAAGAAAGGATAGAAAAAGTGGGTAGAGGTCCATCTACTCTGCGTATCAGATACAAAGAAGGGGATTCCTCCACACCTTGCGGAGTGGTGTTGTTGATGCGCCTAGACTTTTTGCTCCTTAGAGAATTATGGAAGCTTTGCAAATTCAGAAATAAGTAGGAGACTCTTTTCTTGGAAATAGATGTATGCTCAAATAGTATCAAAGGTATGCAACGGAGTTGTATTGAGGGGTTTGTGATTCCAATTCCTCTGGTTGAGGTGGTATCAAGAGAGTGATTATAATTCAAATGTAGTGGGTCGAAATACTTTGACAAACTATAGTGAGAGGGTGAGAGAAATCAAGTTGTTCATTTGTTAGTGTTGTTGGTGTGGACAAGCATCACAGAATGATGCACAATGTGTTGAGGGGTGGTCGAAAATGAAAAATGGACGTGCTGGAGCAAATTTGAGTTGATCTATCCAAAAAATGAGTGGAAAATGAAAAACGGATGATGTTGGGAGTTCGATCACATTTGAAGGCTTCTGACTCAAATGAATTTAAGATTTTTTTCTTGGTTCTGATGAAATTTATTGTCAGATGGGCTATGGGAACACGAAGATGCTTTCTACGTTTTAGTATCTCTATTGACTGAAGTGACAAGTGGGGGATTGTTTGGTGAGGAAAACACCTATTAGTTAGCAATATTAGTTAGCGACGATATCAAGAGGCAATACTAAGGATGTGAATGCTTGGATGGTGTCCTCAACCCATATAATCAATCGTAGTTGTTGATCTTGTGGGGATTCTAGGCACACAATGTTTGAATCTGTGGGTACTATTTCTTTTGTCTCTTGTTCCATCCGTTGCTTTTGCTTTTGATTCCTTTCTTTCTAATGCCCTCTATATTGACAATTTGCTTCAGAATGACAATGCATGGGCTCTATTAGAAGCATTATTACTGGTTTGGAGCTTTTGCCCATTCATAAGGAGGGTGTGGCAGAATCATTTGTCTTTGAACCAACTAGAATAGGTTCTAAGGGGAGTCCACTAACTATTGGCCTATTAGGGAATGAGAATACAACTGAGATGCACTGACCCTTTTTGACAAAATGGGCTTGAAATTGGTTAGCCTTGGGGGAGGAGATTAGAGTGGGAATATGTCCCATCCTTTATTGTAAGAGAAAGAAGAATGATGAGAAATAGATAAGAAGCTTACAGTGTAAGATTAATTATAATGGGGGGGTGCGAGTAAGGGAGGTGGTGTTAGAGGTTCTTGATGAAGTTGGTAAGTTGGAATGAGAGGGGTTTAAGAAACTTGAACAAGAAGATGATCAAAAAGATGATGTTAAGGCCTTCTCTGGTTTTATAGAGGCAATGGATGGGACACTTATATGGGAAATTGTGGAGTCTAGATTCAAGTATTGGGTTTTCCTTTCTTCTCGTGGGTCCTCTGGGGGTATTAACGTGATTTAGATACTAGTCTAACATTGCCCCCAGAGTTGGTTGAACCATTGGCTTTTTTTTGTGTAGTCCGTTTTGAGTTTTAATAGTCGAGGGGAGTGATGGGTTACCTCCCTTGACTCTTGTTCATGAATCCTTACCTTGTATGGACCAAGTCGTATTGAATTATGTATTGAGATTATACAAAAACTTTAGAATTAGAAAATTGTGAGGGACTTATACAATATAATGTTGAGTATTCATTGTGCCTAGGGAAATGCCCAATAGGGAGATAATACATTCTCAGAAATCAATTGGCTTAGATGGTACTGTACGTACTATTTGTACTGTAAATCCTTATATCTCGTTTTATAGATTTTTTTGTGTTTTTTTTTTTTTTGTGTCTTATTTTCAGGGAAGATGCTAAAGAGATAAAGTTACATGCTTTAAAAGCTGGGAAAGAGCCTATTTTTGAGGAGTTGCCTAAGAATATCAAAAGGTAATCCTACACGCAGTTGGCTTTAGGGATGTTGATCATTTTATTTTGTGAAATGTCATTCACGTCAAAAGTGTCATCTTAAGGTATGGTCATTGAGGCATCTACTTTTGTTGATGATACTTATTGGATGTTTGAGTTTTGGCCCCTCCCCTGTTGGGGGGTGGGGGACATTGTTGATCATTATATATTTTCAAATGTAACATTGCATTGTACAGTCACTAAACTGATGGACCCTGCCTAACAGTTTTGGATATTTGCCTAGAAGGAAATTGTTGAGGCTATGTATTTAGGGGACTAATGAAGATCTTTATCTACATTGGGAAAGGATATGGTGCAGTTGCAAGAGATAACATGAGGATTTCAGGAGGAGAAAATCGTTATAGAGACGTATTGGTATGATGATTGACATACACGATGTATAATATCTTTAGTGAGAATAGACGCAGGAAAAACTAGTTACTCCCCCATTGTTGTTGGTCTTCCATCTAGAGATCAGCATTAAGTAAAATCTTTTTGTCTTTGTTATGAATAAATTAACTACACCCATTCAAGATAAAGTTCCATGATATATGTAATTTCATGATGATAAAATAATTGATTGATGAAAATAGACTAGGAATTGAAGACAGACCAGGAGTTTGGAACAAAGCTTCAGAATCCGAAGTATTCTGGATAAGTAGTTCGATGTAGTAAGATTGATATTTGAGCTTAGGCTAACTAGTTCAATGTAGGAATATTACTATACGAGTTTAGCTTCCTTTATGAAGTTATGACAAAAGAACAAACTTAGGATACATTCTCGAAAGAAACAAAAAATATTATGTAGAATTTCAGGGATAAATTACTTTTTACATCCTTATATTTTACACCAATTCTAAACTGCAAAAGCTAATTGGGTTAATAGTGTATTATAGAAATCTACTACGTATCAACTTTTTAAGTTTTTTTTTTCCTAAATTGTTTTGCAATCTGAAAAATCTAATGCAAAGAAAGGGTAGTGAGAAAGAGATTGGTATACTATAGAGAGAGAGAAAAAATATATTGTATGTGAGGACCTAAAAGTTATAGTGATGTGTCATTGATAGAGGTAAAATAAGAAATCAAAAGTATATGTTGAAATTTATAAGTAATATAGAATTTTCGAAATTGTAAGGGTTATGCTTTAGCCAAGTGTGGGTTTTCAAAACGTAGAGAGGTAAAGTGTTGCTAGCTTAAATGATGACAGGGAGTTAAAACATAATCCTTTTATAGAAAATAAAAATCCAAAATAGATTCCAAACAGTGAGCAATGCCAATATTTTGGGCCAATATTGGGAAGGAGGGTGAAATTGGTGATGATGTTATTTATAGATTTAAGTTGGATGGATTAAGGGGATGAGTGCATCTGGTGTATTGCATGATAGATTTTTATGTTGAAATGTAAGCTCTACGTAGGCATCATAAGATCATCTTAAGGGATAAACTTTTGTGCATCTAAAAAATTAGTTCGAAAATTGTTGCTAGAAGTAGAATACAGATATTAGAATTGACGTGTCCTACAACTAAAAAGGACAAAATTAGGAATGCTTATGTTCGTGAAATGATAGTTGCGTCAAGATCAAAAAAATTAAGAGATAATTGACTTAAATGGTTTCAACATATCGATTGAGATATTATAGAACCAATGAGTAAGAATGTTTTTCGAGGGTAGTGTCAAATTAAAATTAGCAATGAATGAGATACCAAAAAAGTATCATAGTTTGTGGTTTAACAGATATTGATCTTGATAGACATAGTGACGAAACAAGATTCATGTAACAAATCTCAAATAATACAAAAGGATTGGTGAGTCTAGTTGAATCGAGTGTGCTAGCCAAATATAAGTTTGTTTTCTCATGAAGGTTCTAAGACTTAAATCTTGGTAGGATGATAGCCATTTGCTTCCTCTCCCCCTTCGAATGTAAGATGCTACAAAATCAATATTAGATTTGGTTCATTAGAGCCTAATGTGTTATTTTATTTTTGAAAAGGGGATTACACATATAGTATGGATTGAGAAAATAATCATGTTCGTGGATTTGACGTAAAATCTGTCTTCATGACTGGATATTTTTATATATGGCTGCATGTTATGACCTAGAACAATCTAGCTGTATTATCTGGGAAAAATTATTCATGCAAGGAGAAGTACTCTACAGGAATCCTCTCTTTGCTTAGTCTTAGCAGTTAGAAGGTTTTGATGGCCTAATTTGGAAACGTTTGCCTTGGATGCTTACATTGCACTAAATGATAGTTATTTGGTTAGTGGTGCTCAAGTTTTCTTGATTGTGGTTACAGGAAAACTAAATAGAAAAAGCTTAGTTCTCAGTAAATGGTCTAGATTAATTTTGGCTGCTCCTACAAAACAAACTGAGAATTTACATTCCTAGTGCATTGTATACAGCTAGTTAACAAGTAGCACGAACGAGTTCTTGAATGATTTGGAAGGCAGGTGAAGTTGGATGGAGATTGGGTGCCACAGCGAACACCAAATGTTAGACAAGACTTTTTATCTTATCTTGATCCCATCTTAGGTGAGAGGAGTGAAGATAGGAAAAGTCTAAGCCAGGGACTTCCTTTGTTTTTGACAACTGCAAGAGTAAAATGTTTGTCACATGCAAGATTATGATCTATATTTTTAACAAGCTATTTGTATGTAAACATCAACTGTTAAAACATTCGTGCGTTTTTTGTGTTCTTTTACCTGATAAAACTTTGTATTACCTATTTTTTACCTGACAGATTGTACAAAAGTTGCATTTAAACTTTTTAACGATTTTGGTGAAGCAAATTCTTTAAGATTATGTTTATCTGAAATTTATTTGGATTGCACATCTCATAAAACAACAGATGTTGCCTTGATTTGATAAACTATTATTGATTGAATAAGACCTCTCCAATCATCTTTCAAGAAAAGTAAAAAACATTGAATATCCTATTTGAATACATCCTGTCACTCCTCAATCCTGCAGATGTTCATTTTTCGGATGTCCAAGTCAATGAACTGCCTAACTGAATTAACTCCAGATGTGTTTTGATGTAAAATGTGAGAGTTTATCTTTACTGTGTCTCTAATGATCTTATCACAGTTTTTTCACTGCTTGCCATTATGTTTTGATTCTTTTTCTTTTATAAAGGAGTACGGTAGAGGTTAGGATATTAGTGTTTTTCCACGAGAAGAGAACGAACTTACTTTGTTCTTATGAAAACCTGAGATCCCCAAACCCCAGCCTCCATCCATTATTGGAAGCAAGAGAGGAGAAGATATGAGGTAAGGGGCTGGCTTGTTTTTATGAAACCTAACTCCCCTTCCCCTGATGAGAAGAAGAAAAATTAAAAATTATTTAAGATCCTTTACCCATGCTTATTTATGTTCAGCTTGGTGTTAGAAATCCATGGGCTTGGGCAGCAATTTCCCACCCAATTAATATGTGGACAATATTCGAGTTGGGGACTTGATCCTTCGGGACCCAACTCAAACCCAACCTGAGCTAATGAATTCGGGTTCTACATGAATTCAAGACGAATTTTAGTCCGAGTTGTGTAACTCGAACATCAACTTTGAGTTGAACCTGATTTGTACTTGAATTCAAACCAACAAATTGAACATGAGTTCTAACTCGAGTTGCATAACTCAAGAATGAACCCGAGTTGAATTCGGTTGCAATCTGAGCTGACAAATCCGAGTTTGACCTGTGTTTAAGAATTTGTATGTTGACCATACTTGTTTCGAAGGGTTTGAGTTGAATTCACGTAGTGGTTGAACTAGGGTTGAGTATTTTATAACTTGAGTTAAGCCTGGGTTGACCCAACCTGCTGAGTTGCACCCGACATGTTCTTGGGATAAAGCCCAACATTTAACTCAATGCGAAAGACAATGATTGATTTGAGAATGTTTTGAACTGGGCTTGTTTGAAAACATTCTGGGAATTTTGGAAACACTGGGGATTGGAAGATAAGGAAATATTCTCATCCATAATTTCAGTATATTCTTGATTGTTGGGTCGGTTTGGTAATCTCTGGATCCATAAAAGGTTTACCACTTCACAAAACAGTATCTATTAACAGCAAGGTACTACAAGTGTTTGAATGCCAGCAACCCTCTCTTTCCTCTTTTCATTAGATTTGTAGAAAGGTTCTACGTCAGTGTTGCTACCACCTATTTATGGTGCCAGTAGTGTAACCTTTGCTATTAATCTATACTACTCTAAAAAGCCACTATAGTTGAAAAACTTTTAGTTTCCCTTTTTATCCTTGAATAATGTAATTAATCCATTTTAATCCCCAAATGTGAATGAATAAAGATAAACCTCCTACACCTGAAAGTGCCATTGATTACATGTAAGCTCAAGAGTTTGTTATTAATCACATTCTTACCACTTTCTCCACTATGTCAAGTACAAAAGTTAGAGAGGCAAAGGAGCATAACTCCTAATTAACCCAATAGTTATTGTAAATAATTCTAATTTTAGTGTGCCTCTATAATAATTAATGTAACTTATTTTTCTTTAACTTATGTACTGTGTCTCTACTACCGATTGTAAAAAAAAAAAAAAAAATTGAAAAAACTGTGAAAGGGAAATGTGACTTTATACTACTCTAAAATGTCACTATAATTGAAAAACTTTTAATTTCTCTTTTTATCCTTGAATAATGTAATTAATCCATTTTAATCCCCAAATGTAAATGAATAAAGATAAACCTCATACACCTGAAAGTGTCATTGATTACATGTAAGCTCAAGACTTTGTTATTAATCACATTCTTACCACTTTCTCCATTATTTGCAAGTTCAAAAGTTAGAGAGGCAAAGGAACATAACTCTTAATTAACCCTATAATAATTGTAAATAATTCTGATTTTGGTGTGTCTCTATAATAATTAATGTAACTTATTTTTGTTTAACTTATGTAGCGTGTCTCTCCCACAGATTGAGGGAAAAAAAGTTGAAAAAACTGTGAAAGGAAATGTGACTTTACTAATTCTGGAAGTTGAATCACTATGACTATCAAGTTTAGTGGATGAGCCATACTAATCAACCTCTTTATTGACTCCACTGTCAAAAACCTCAATTCTCTCTTTTAAACCCTCTCCAACATTCTCACTTACGGGCAAACACTCATCTTCAAAGGTATTCTATGACTCACACCTAAAAGTGTCATTGATTACATGTAAGGTCAAGAGTTTGTTATTAATCACATTCTTAGCCTTTCTCCACTACGTCAAGTACAAAAGTTAGAGAGACAAAAGAGCATAACTCCAAATTAACCCAGTAGCAAGGATCAAAATGTCGTGTCGACACGTCCGAAACGTCCGAAACGTTTCGGAATTTCAACACTCCGAAACGAAACAGTAGTTGAATCACAAAATTCCAGTGTTTCGGTCGAAACGGTACTGTTTCGGACCGTTTCGGTCGAAACGGCATTGTTTCGAACCGTTTCGACAAAACAGTGATATATTCGGTTCATTATGAATAATTACATTTAATACCCCATTATAATTACATTTAATACCCACTGTAATTACATTTAATACTCACTATAATTATATTTAATATCCCACTATAATTACATTTAATTCCCACTGCTCTTCTGTCTTTTATAATTTTTGTTATAAGAATAAATAATTACACTTAATACCCTACTATAATTATATTTAATACCCATTATAATTATATTTAATACATACTGTAATTATATTTAATACCTTACTGCTGTGCAAGTTTTTTGCTTTTTTTTTTGTTATAAGTATTAACAATTACATTTAATACCCTAATGTAATTATATTTAATATCTACTGTAATTACATTTAATACCCACTGCAATTACATTTAATTTTTAAGTATACATAAGTATCATTAATTTAATTTGATACCCTTGATTATTAGTATTATAATAAAATAGTATTATTAATTGGATTATATTACCGTAATAATATGATTTGGAGTAACTATTGTCATCATATTTATGTCACATATGGAGTTTCTCTAAGTAGCTACCCAGAGCCTACACCGATGTATGAGCCTGCTCGACACTCCACAGGGGAATGGATGTAATCATGTAAGTATGTACTCATTAGCATTTCATGTGTATTATAAGACGTTAATATTATGTAAAAATGTGTTTATTTCATAAAAATTAAGTGTTTGAAACTAATTTAAGTGACTTTCGCCTCAAGTCAAGCCTTTTTTTCCCTCAAATTTAAATTTATTCTTGTATAAATTGATGTTAACCTAATAAATATGTTGAATTAATAAATTATTTAGCATATCTTTATAAATTAATGGATTGCATTTGTGTTTCTATGCGTTTCCATATTTTTTCTGCGTTTCCATTGCGTTTCCGAAATGTTTCCGAAACGTTTCTATTTTTGAGTTGACCGAAACGGTACTTCGAAACGAAATTTTGATCCTTGCCCAGTAGTTATTGTAAATAATTCTGATTTTAGTGTCTCTATAATAATTAATGTAACTTATTTTCCCTTAACTTATGTAGTGTGTCTCTTCCACAGATTGTGAAAAAAAAAAACTGAAAATGGTGAAAGGGAAATGTGACTTTACCAATACTGGGAGTTGAATTATCAAGTTTAGTGGATGATCCATACTAATCAACCTCTTTCTTGACTACACTGTCAAAGATCTCAATTCTCTGTTTTAACCCCTCACCAACATCCTCATTTACAAGCAAACACTTATTTTCAAAGGTGTTCTGTAACTCATTTTGTATGAATGTATATGGATACAATATCTAACATGAAATTGTTAATACTTGATGTTTTTGTTGTTTTAAGGGTTATTTTTGGTTGATTACATGAGAGAGAGGTCATCAAGACTCAAATGTCACAATGGGTCCAAAATCATGTTGATGGCTTCTTAGGGATTTATGCATGGGTATTCTTTATAGAAGGGTGATTCTAAATTCAACTTTGTTTGTAGTACTTGTATCAATATTGGTATGATATAAGACATGAAATCTCAAGTTTTTGATCATAACATAGTGTCAATTTGTGAAAAAATGAAAATTTCTAACTATATCTAACAAAGATTAAATTCAAAATAAGTTTGCAAAATTTGAAGTAGTCTTGGTTGAAGACAACAAAGTTTTGTGATGATGGTTTTACCCTTTTAAGTCTTGAATGGTTTTGGAAGTATAAGATTGGAAAATGGTGGAATTGCGTTTGTCATTCGGTTTTGAATTTTAATGAGTTGAATAATTGTTTTGAAGCAATTTGTATCCTTTGTTATACGCTTAGTTAAAAGATTGAAGGTCATTGAAGTTATGAATGTTTACCTATGATTGTAGTTGTTTTCATTAGATTGATAGTAGATTTTATTCATTGTGCTGAGACCTATTATCAATCTAATGAGCACAATGAATTAGATAATTAAATTAGATCCCAATAGTATTGTCCATTAAGCAACGTTATAACAAATTTCTTAGTGATTAATGATTTTGTGATAGAGTGCATTGACGTTGGGAACATTGGAGAGTATATATGATTTGACACTTAAAATAGTCCACGTGCAAGACACTTGTGCACCAACAAGTTACACAAAATTGATGCTTTTAGAACCAAATATGCGTTGTATGCTTAAGGGTTTGAACATCCTATGAGTGCACTAAATAGTGGTTATTCTTTCTGGTCATATGTCATACTATTTTAAATGTAGTTCTTTTGAAAAAATGGCATCCAAATTGACTAGAAACTGGCACACTATAATGTTTCATGAATTTTGGTTCCAAGTTATTTGAAGTGGTGTTATTTTTATTATAAGTAGTTTTTGCTCTTCAAAGATGTGAAGTTTCATCGATTTAGTTGTGGAACCATTCTTGGTTCGCCGTTGTCTGCAAGCCCAAGTTTGTTTGTTTAGCCTTCTCTCTTTCATTGTGTCATTATTATGCATGCTTGATGTGCAGGAAAACAGCTGCTTCGTACAAAGAGCTGGAGGCAAGGAAAAGCAGAGTAAATGATTTAGAGAAACTATACATGGATATGGTCATGCAAAAAGAATTACATGTAGTAAAATATTTCTCATTCGTTATTCTTGATTTATGAACTGCCAATATAATCGATTAAATATCAACCATTTGCTGGAGCAGAAAAAGGGTAGGAAGCGGAAACTTCGTGAAGATGAGATTGTTTCTCCAACTTCCAAACCAGTATATAAATGGCGGCCAGAGCGAAAGCGGTGAAGAGGTGCACAATATTATTGGTTTAATCCTCGTGGTATTGCTTTATCTTCTTTGTTATGTTATTGATTGAACGTTTCAGTAAACCATCACCACCACAACATTCTTTTTTGCTTCAAGGGAGCTGGGTGGGGTGGTTCAAATGGATGGTGATAAACTCCTACTGATCCAAAAATGTGAAGTGATTGCAGTATTACATGCAAATCCCTAGAAACTGTCAAACTGAAAGCTGACTAATACTAACAAATTTTGAGCTGTATATTTGGATGCTGCTATTTGACTCTTTTTGAGGTTTAAGATAATATACTATATGTTTTGCTTATCATCATCTAAAAGCATAATAGTTTCCTATATTTCCTTATTAACTTTTTGTGATTATTGATAGTTCATTATACTTTCCGATTAAAAAAAAAAGTCAATTTCATGCCATGTCATTCATATGCATTTGTTGAAAGTCCTTGGTAGCAGATTTATTTTTTAGCTTCTTTTTGGACGTCCATGACTGAAGAATTTTGAGGATGTCCCTATCTTTTGCATTATATCGAGCTAGGCAGCTCCTTGCGGATATTTAGTTTTTTTTTTTTTTAATTTCTGGTTTGATGTTTTCTGGTTAGGTTTTTCTAATTGTTTTTGTCCACCTTTAATGTGCCTTTTGTATTTGTTTCTTTTCTTTTATATTAATAATATTCTAGTTTTCTATATATTTATACTAGTAATTGCTCGTGTCTGAAGGCATTGCGTTATTTGTAAAAAATGAACAAAAAATTCTTCAAAACAACACATATATAAATATATCAGTGAAAATAAATACTAATAGAACCATATTAAATTTACAATTTTTAAGTAATAAATGAAATCAATAATTTTTTTTGTATTTGTCACAATTACAATAATCCAATTCAATAACAAAACATAATTATAAACTCAATTCATCCATGTAATAAATATCTCAAACAAAAATTTGTCCGCAAATGCAACCATCTATATAATAAAAATAACTTTACAAATGTTGTCAAAAGAATAAGTTGTCATTTGAGATTCCATCAGTTTCCAGAAGAATGAATACAACCTGTATTAATAAAAAATAATATATTTAGATATTTTTTTTGAATTCATCTACATTCAAATAATAAAAAAGATTGAGAAAATATAGTTACTTGAAAAGTATTGTTTCATAAATTCTGATATTCATTGTTCCTCTGTTGAGCCTCCTAATCTTTTAATGCTCGTAAATAGATTAAGTCATTTTTGATTTCCTCTAACAGATCCTCTAATTTTACCATATCTAGGAAGTCATTCTCAAATTTTGTATGAATGAAATCAATCGGTCACAAAGATGGAAGCGTGTTAACAACAGTGTACAACATTATTGGATTATTCGGATCGAAATTTTTTTGTCTTAACACTCTAAATAATGATTCTTTCTTTTTTATATGGTCTATGACATCTGATTGTAGATCTATTTTCTCTGTCTCAAATTGTATCCAAAGTGGATGTATCTTGCGTTCCGCTTCCGCCAATAATTGTATAAATCGTACCGCACAGGTTGGTTGGTCGTGATTAAAATTTTTTTCCTTTGCAGGATCCCAAGCGGTGGGAAGGGTCTTTGCTATTTTCTACATAATATAATCTTCACTTATGTTTTTTCTTACATTTTGCAGCATTCGACCTAATCTAATTTTTTCAAACTCAAACTCTGAGATTAGAGTTCCATCTTCAAAAGAATCATTTTCAAATTTATCTACTATACTTGCTACTGTCAAACGCATACTACGACGTACATAGATGGAAGGACGTTCCATATTATCTGTACATAATATAAAAGTTATAAATTAAATTGATAATTATAAAATTAATAACAGTTAACCAATATTACAACAATAACAAAAAATTTTACTATCACATGTGATTTAATATTGTAAGAATAAGAACAACACACCAATAACAATAAGAGAAATAGAATAATTAAAATGATAACCTTATTATTCATTGTTGCAATATTATTCTTGGTAATCATAAAATGCAACAATTAAACCAAGAAGATAGACAACAAATATAAATCCATTCATATGAATTAAATTCAAAGAATATTAAAATAGCACGACATATTCATAAACATTAATTGAATGGTTTAGCCTTGCAGTTTTTGATTGAATGTAATATTAAACAATGTAATTAATGATTCAATCTTTCAGTAGTTCATTAAACTTTTTTTTCATCACTTTTTTGAACGTTCTTGTGTCAATACAAAGGCGAAACCTCAAGTTGAGAGAATGGACAACAACCTAGTTTTACAGGAAAAAAAAAAACAAATCTTAGTGAAATATATAGAATTTATAAAAAGAATACAGTACGCTGCAACAGTGTAAGGATCGAGTTGCTTTATTACGATAACCCCACCGGTGAAGTCGCGTTGTATTTAATCTTTTCATCACTTTAGCCAATTCACGCCAATCCTACAGATATTGAATGATGATAATGTAAAGTTAAGATGATTATTTTAATTATGTGTATTCAATATGAAAAAATTTGTATCTAAATGGTACCTTTTGTAAATAATTGAATAGGAAGTCTTAGAACAAAACTTCAGGGAAAACGATGTTTGATGTGCAATTCAACGCATTTTCAAGAAGAAGAACACTTATACGATCAGAAGATGTACATCTAGATATTGCCATATATAGGTGTCCATGACTAAACACTGATATGCGCAAATCAACCCTAACAAATTTGACAAATTGTTCTTGAGATTTATTAATTGTTATAGCATATGTTAAGCGCACAGGAAATTGACGTGTTTTCATTTGAAAAGGTAATTCCGAAGGTGATAGTGTAAGTGATATTCATGGAATGAAGACTAAATTGCCTGATAATGGTCCATTCAGAATCTGAGTTTCAATTACACGCGAGGCACATCTGACAACTATTAATCGCGTGCTATTACAAAGTCCATCTTTTGGCGTCAAATTCCGCAACAACATTATTGGGCAATGCACTTTTAACTCCAACTTAAGCGGCGGTAGTCCCGAAGGATTTAGAGAGTTTAGATACTCATTTGGAAAATGGTTCGTGATAGTATGATCAAGTTCTTCATCTTCTGAAATTTGGTCTGCAGCTAAATATGTAATAGTCTCACCAAGGGATATATTCAAAGTTGCTGCATGTATAGAACTAACATCATCATTACGTGCAGAAAGAATTGTACGTTAGACAATCCGGGGTCAATGTACCAGCCACATCTAAACACGGGTAAATTCTGAATATCAATTCTTCTAGATTATGACATTTGTGTATTGTTGATGGAAGTTTTATAATTTCTTCTGGATTGGTCTCAACCTAAAATTAAAATTGGGAAGTTAAATGAGCGAAGAGGAATAAATACTAATGAAAAGTAATATTTTATAAAATTATTGACAAATAAATTATTACCTCCATTAAAAAGTTTGCAAATGCAGCATTTCTAAAATTCGTGTGAGTTAAGTGCATGTTTTGACCCAGAGTCAAAACATGTATATCCCTCCACAAAAATGATCGCCTCAACGATACACCCACAAATTGCTCGCGGACTCTTCTCGGTATAACTGGTTAAGATTTGTTGAAAGTCTCCACCAAGCACAACAGTAATGCCCCCAAATGACTTTTTATTATCACGAATATCTTGATGTGTGTGATCCATTGCCTCAACATAATGTCTATGTTGCATAAGTACTTCATCCCATATTATTAGTCTAGTTTTTCTAAACAATTATGCATGCATCAATTGTTTGGTAAAGCCACACATTGAATTTTCAAGCACATTTAATGGAATACAAAATGTTGAATATGCGTGCGACCTCCCATCAATAATAAAGACTCAATGCCAAAAGAAGCAACAGTAACAACAATATGTCCAAGGTTACGCAATTTCATTGCAATTGTATTATACAAAAATGTGTTCCCTGTCCCGACACCCCCACTCAAGAAGAAAGTAGTTCCTATATCTTGAAACACTGATGAAATGATTTCAACATAAGTGATGTATTGTGCATCATTAAGGCGATCAACATTACTTTGTGCATCTGACTGTTGCTCTTCATTCTGGAGTTTTTGATGCTCAAACAATAGTCTATTACCAACTATTGCATTCCAATTTCCAATCGGTTGCGGCATTGGTGGAAAGTCAATTAAGCTTTTGTCTGACTCGTGGAGCAATTGAATCAACAAATATAAACCATAATCTTCGATTTGATCCTGAGTTGAATTTGAAATACCAAACATTGTATGAATCTTGAGTTTAAGATCATCACATATATACACTGAAAACTGGTTCCATAATGCAAGTGGATATAGCGGAGAGCATTCAGTTAGAATAATATCGAACAATCTCCTTAACTGGTGTCCCGTTTTCATAATTAAAGCCTCTGGTAGACATTGTATCCATTCGACATCATCTTCTAGAAGACCTCTTGCAACACATGCAAATTTAAAGAATCATACATAACGTTTACCGTGCACAGGTTATCAAATGATGTTGGTCCTTTGACAACTGTTAGTAGCAAACACAGATAAAAACGATCATCTGAATTTGGGTTAGCAAAGTACATCCTGTCAATTGGGTGCCTCCTTTGTCTAGGGGTCCATATTGTGATTTTCTTGATAAGTTAATACACGTGCAGATTCATTTGAAGCACACCATTTAAAGAAACCAATTAAAGTTGTATCATGTTGTGCACCTCTTGAAATGATTGATTGAAGCGGTTCGTCCGAATTAAAAGCAACACGATACATCCCTAGTAAATGAAGTTTCAAACGTATAACCGATAGAATCTCTTCATGTAAAAGATTACCAAATATTTGTCAAGCAGTCTCTGGAGATCCAATATACCTTGCATCAAAATATTGTTAAATTTTATTTCCTCCTTCCAACACCACAGTGGTGCGATCATGACCTTTATAAATGTACTTATGGATGTATTTCACACATCTTATTTTCGCACAACCTTCCACATTAATATGACAATTGA